GGTCTCCCCTGCGGGCAGCAGTGGCTGGCGGGGGCTGGAATGGGGCACAGTGTGACACAGGGGCTGGCCTGGCAACTTGCAGCTGAATTTCCAACCCAGGAGTGATACCAAAACTCTGTCCTCCCACCTGCAGGTGCCTTGGCGATCTCTTGCGAGTCCAGCTTTATGGGTCCAGTGTTGTTTCGACAGGTAGGATGCTGCTCAGCTGGGACCTGTGCGGGGCCTGTCTGGGTTGGGATCTGCGTGCGGCGCTTCTCCCAGCATGCCAAGCTCTGCACCGTGCTGGAGCTTAAGGGACTGGCTGGTTTGGTTGGAGCAGGGTTTGGCCTTGGCTCTGCCTCATCCCCGCTGTCTAGGTGACAAATGGCTTGTGAACTGGGAAGCTTCTCAAATCCAGATTTTGGGAAGAGATCTGTACCAGGTGTGCGGATGGGCAGCCAAAGGCCGGGCTGCTGCCAAGGTCACCCTTCACCACCGCTGTGTAACCCGCCAAGTCCTTGGTGTTCTTCACTCTCGTCCTCTGCTGCCTCCTGGCCTCTCCCAGCCTGGCTGAGCTCTGCAAAGGGGGCTCCAGGAGCTGGAAGATGAGCAGCCCAAGCTAATGCCTATCCTGACTGCTAAGCTGGCTCAGCCTGCTGGGAAGAGGAAGGGAATGTCTAGAGGATGCTGTCTCCAGGTGCGTGTGCCTTTCTGTGCCAGAAAGTCTCCTGCCGGAAGTGGAGGTGCTCCAGAAGATCAGGTTGCTGTCCCTCATCGGGCGAGGTATGCAGTTCCTGGAGCTGGGGAAGCACAAGGAAGCCTTGTTGGATTTCCAGCACGGTTTGCAGATCTCGCCAGGTAAGAGACTCATTTTGGTGAGGAACATAGGGTATTTCCACCAATTCTGTCCCGGGTTGCTTTGCAGTATTCAGCATAAAGGTCTTGCACTTTCAGACCACACTTACTCAAAGGTCAAGGGATACAGTAGGGCTACCGGCTGCGTCACACACTTGAGGTGTGTCTCTGGGGCCTGGTCAGCCTGCGGCCGTGGAGGAGCACACCAAAACTGTTGTCAAAGGAGTGTATCGTAATTCTGCTCACAACCTGTGCCCTCAGTCAGCTTGGAAGTGTCTCTTCTTCTCAGCCCATGTCCAAACAGGCGTGGCTGGCTCTGCAGAAGGCCTGATGCCATCTGCCTCGGCTTCCAGCCCCAGGGCTAATTAAAGCCTGTGACACAGCCAGACAGCCTCCTCCCCATTACATGCCCCCCCTCTTGCTCACCTCCCTTGTCTAGCTTCTAAGCTGCTTTTGCAACACCCTGCAACCCACAGCAGTGCTGGGGACCTGCTCCTCCCCTGCTAAGGGCTGAGTTCCCCTTCCTGTCTTGCAGGTGACCCAGCTGCTGCTTCCTACCTGGTACAGGCCTTGTGGGAACTGAACCGAAAGCAGGAGGCGGCAGCTCGCTGGCAGAAGTTCTCCCAGAGCCCCCCTGGGGAGGATGGGCAGCAGGAAGGGCAGGGAAGGTGTGTAGAGGGGTGGGTGGAATTTTGACTGGCCACACAAGGGAGCTCCAGCAGCGCAGACCCTGTTTCAAGCTGTGTGGGCAGTTCTAGCCCACAGCTCAGGTGTGTCTGGGGAGCGTCCCTCATCCCTGTGCTGAGGGGGCAGGGGCAGACGCTCTGTAGGGCTCCCTGAGGCACAAAAGAGCCAACGCAGAGCCAGGGGGGAGGGCAGAGGCTGGGGGCAGAACCAGGGGCTCTGCGTAGGACATGGGAAGGGAACTTCCTAGACCATGACAAGGGAATGCCGCAGCCCTTGCAGCTGCAATGTTCCTTCTCTTGCAGGCCCTTCCCTTTGTACCTGGTTTCATGTGTGAAGCAGGCAACGTTCCCACACAGTGCCTCTCTTGCCAGAAGCATACACGACTACCTTAGAACCACGAACCAGGACCCCTCAAGCTAACCCAGTCAGTCTCCCCATCCCACATGCTTAAGGTCCCCCACACCGGCCTGGTGTGAGGTCTTTAAGGACTCCTCCACGACTCAGCATTACCCTTGGATAAAGCTGGATTCCCAAAGGACTGAAACAGAATAGGTCTCCTTTTCTAATAAAAGCCTCCGCTCTATTTAGTTTGTCTGTGCCCCTTTTGTTCCAAGCAAACCTTCATAGTCCTGGCCTTGACGCTGCCTGGAGCTGCTGTGTGCTGCGCCCAGGGTGCGTGGGAGGTCAGGAGGAGGGATACCCTCATTCCTTTGGAGCTGGATGCTCACTGCTCCAACAAGCTGGGGGCAGATCCACAGAATCACAGAACGGTCAGGTTTGGATGGTCCTTCTGGAGATCATCTAGTGCAACCGCCCAGCCAGAGCAGGATTCCCTAGAGCAGATCACACCAGAACACGTCCAGGCAGGTTTTGAAAGTCTCCGGGGAAGGAGACTCCACCAGCTCTCTGGGCAGCCTGCTCACTGCTCTGTCACCCTCATAGAGAAGAAGATTTTCCTCAAGCACAGGTGGAACTTCCAGTTTGTGGCCGTTGCCCCGTGTTCTGTCACTGGGCACCACTGGAAAGAGTCTGGCCCCACCCTTTAGACATTTGTTAGCATTGATGAGATCCCCTCTCAGTCTTCTCCAGGCTAAAGAGAACCAGGACTCTCAGCCTTTCCCCATAAGGGAGATGTTCCAGACCTCTAATCACCTTTGTGCCCTCCTCTGGACTCACTCCAGCAGTTCCCTCTCTTTCCTGAACTGGGGAGCACAGGTGCCTGGCCCCGCCAGCCGCTCTCGTGAGGCAGCGGGCTGTCGGAGGGCCTGTCCCACCTCTGCTCTCCCCCTGCTCGGTGTCGTCTGAGAAGGGGTTTGGGCTGAAGCGCGCAGCTCGCACGTGGCGGCGGGCTCCACAGCCGTCCCTGCGTGCCTCGGGCC